TTTGTGTGATAGAAAAGATAGAAAAATACCGCTTAGACTGAAAGGAAAATTATATATGATGGTGGATGTCACCAATCCTCTATGACGCTGAATATTGGCCTTTAAAAGAGAAGCATAATACGAGGTTAAGTGTTGTCGAGATGTGAATGATTAGGTGGATGAGTGGCTTTACACTTAGAGACAAAATGCGAAATGAATATATCCGTGATAGGGTTGGTGTTGCTTCAGTGACGGACAAAATTAGAGAGTCATCTTAGATGGCTCGGTCATAGTTAACATCGACCATCTAATGAGCCGATTAGGAGAGTAGATGTTTTAGATTCGACTTATGTTAAGAAAGGCAGAGGAAGACCTAAGAAGACTTGGGCTTATTGTATAAAAAATGATCCTAATTTATTAGAACTAAATGAAAATATGACACTACATAGGACGCAATGGAGAAAAATGATTCAGTAGCCGACCCCACGTAGTGGGATTAACGCTTTGCTGTTGTTGTTGTCCTTAAATTTTTTGAAGACTACACATAACTTGTAAATTTCACTTACTTTTTTGACCATCACAAGGTTTGGGACTCAGAGTACTTGGGTTCCTTAATAAATTAGATGGAGAGAAGCTTATTTATTAAGGAATACTTTTTGACCATCACAAGGTTTGGGACTCAGAGTACTTGGCTTCCTTAATAAATTAGATGGAATCTTTCCCCTTTTCTTAGTGTGTTAGCCCTATTTTTGTTTGAATATGGACATGATAGCTGGTGATGTATATACTGACGTGAAGCATCTCAGATGATTCTTATGCAAAAAAATCTTAGTTAATTCTAAGCTCACTAAGTTTGGAAAGTGTTTACTTTCTAAGGCTTTGTTTGGCGCAGCTGTAGCTTCCCAACTTTTTAGCTGCAGCTGCGCTGCCCCAGGAAGCTGCTGCGGGGAAACTGACTGTCTGTTTGGTGCAGCTGTGTGAAAACAGCTGTGGGGCGGCTATTTCTGGAGAAATGACCTTACTGCCTCTGTTTGTTAAAACTGTTTAAAAGAAGACTGTAGCAGCTACATTTTTGAAACTTCTGAAGCATAAATTCATTTTTAAACAGAACAGAAAGTTCATATACCTTCACTTCTAAAAGAAGATTTTTTTTAAGTTTAATAATTTAAACAACAAGTATTTTAACATTCTACAAGAACTATGATGATGATGCACATCTATCAACTATATTTAACAGAACGTATAAAGAAGTTTAAAGTTGTCATTTAACTCAACTCATCTAAGGTCCTCCCTCAAATATATTTAGATAAATTTACATACATACCACACAATTTTTATGTTTCATAAAAAAAAAAAAACATAGCAAAAGTAGCAAAGACAATCAAAACAAACTTTCTTTACATAACATCACAAATAAAATAATCAAAATTCAGAAGAATACAAAATATTGTTTGGTAGCCCAAAACTGTGACAAATTCCATTACAATTTAACGAAAAATTAAGCTTAACTATGAAATTAAATTGAGATTGCCAAGTTGTGGAAAATTCAATGCAGCAAACTGATATACGTAGAGAACAACAAGGCTTGGATATCAAAGCATCCATCTCATCTACTTGGGACAAACCTTCATGTCAGTACCATTAATAAATCAATCACAACTTTGTGAGAATCCTACCCACCAAACTTCTAACTGCCACAAAGAAAAATCAACGCTAGTTAAGAATCAAAATTCCTAGAACAGAATAATAATAGAAAAACCTCAACTTCATTCCGGGATCCAATGGCATGCATCAGCAGCGATATGTATGTAAATGAAGTAGTATGTATACAAATGATCCTGTTTCAGCTGCATATAACAAAAATAATTGAATACAGCTCGGACAAATTATAAATATAGCACTACAAACATTGATAATTACAAAGCAAGCACCCTTGTTCATTGAAGTGTTATGGTATTATTCCTATGAGAAGAAAGGTCAAAAAAACATATTTATAGAAAAATGAATACATCCCTCGAGCAAAAAATGGACAACACTAAGGTTACTCGCATAGCAGAAAAGGGAAACAATGCTATGTGCATTAAAGACATACATGACTGGAAAATATTGCATTATTATAATATAACCAGATTGGATTGACTCTAAGAAGCGTTAGATTTATCATCACTTATTTATTCAGTCAATGATGCAAAGGCAATTTAACTTTTTGCATTAATTAATTTAAATGCAAAAATGCTGAAGAACTTTTCTTTGCTAGGAAACTTGACCATACTTTGAAAATTGCTGGTATTGGTACTATTCTGAAGCTTCTTCATAAAAAGTCAATCACAAAGCAAATCACAGTACAATAACAATAAAAACGAATTTACAAGGAAACAAAAGTAAACAATAGTTTGTTCATGATATTTAATGTTGAAATATCATGAAGTAAAAATAAATTCTTCTTCCTACACATAAATTTTGCATATACTTCTTCTTTTCAACGAGTCCATTCAGCTTTGCAGTGCAAGTTCAAGTTTGTGTTAAACAACCACAATACAGTCATATTGTTCTGGCATTTCCAAAAGAGTACACTAAAGTAATTTAATAGTTTCGGCATGCACAGTGCTGAACCATGCATTCTTCCATTAAATCTGCATAGAAACAAGCACCAAAAACTATCACACACAATGATAATCCAATGTTCATTTAAATAAAAAAAATGATGTGTGTTTATTACCATATTTTAACAAAATCGAGCATAATTTTAAAAGCTTAGCATACAGATCAGATTGAACATTGACTCAACCACTTACATTCATTAATATTTTCATTTGTTGATTAACAAATAACTTGATTAAATACTTATTTTATAATGGTTTTGTTGGTTATATAATGACTGATTTTATATGTTGTACAAACTTTATGATCCTATGCATTTTAAAAATGAAGATATTACTAGAAAAATAAATATGATGTAAGTTCATATTGAGCAAATAGCCAAATTATTCGATTAAATTTCAATTTTATTTTTCATTAACATTTTTGTTTCTAAAAGTACTGGAACTAGTATTGGGTTAATTAGTATAGATTTTGATGAAAGTTATAAATAACATATGTAAGAGAATAAAATTACATGTTTATATTCTCAGCATATTTTTTTATGTCCAATTAAAGCTTAAGCATGGCCCAAACTCAATAAAAAAAAATAAACAAGCTTGAATAAGAATATATAAATATTACCATGTTCAAGCTCAACACCACTTGATTAAGAAAAAATGCAAAGGCTTGAAGACAATAACACTCGGCTTAATTTGATTCACTAACCTTTTATACTTGCGTACATACGTGTGTAAGGTGAATGCACAATATTATGCAAGGGAAGTGGAAATACTCATTGACATTTAACAGAACTAAAATAAATTATTCAAATGAAATCTCATAAATTAGGAAATCAATGAAATGGGTATTCATAATGTATACAACACTAGAAATTAGCTAGGATATTTAAATTTTGCATTTGGCATGAAAGCAACTTTATCATACTATCAGCTATTTGTATGCGAGGATTGGTAGGACTCTCCAACCAAACCAGCTTAGTCTTTGATCCAATTACAGAAGCCACTTCAAGCAAATTAGATGTATCAACTTGCCTGTCATGTTGGATACAATCATAATATATGTCATCTCTTCATTCTAGTAATTAGCTGCAGTACAAAAATGCAATTGTATGAATCATTTTTTGAAACTTGACCACAATGCCTTTCTTTGGGACCACTTGAGAGAGCAATCGGTCAGAGCCACCATAAATGTCCTCTCCAGCAACAATTTCTTCACCTAAAAAATCATATATAACTTGCAGGATTTATTGGCTTCCTAAATAGAAAATAAATCTAACAATCTATAGAAAATTACCAGAGGCAATAAGAGAAATGATGGTAGAAAGAGCAGCCATTCCACTAGTGAAACAAAATGCACGATGAGCTTTCTCCAATTTTGCTAAAAGACTGATTGTCAGCAAACATACAAGTCAATAGTATACCAATATTAAGGTTACTGTACCTGCAGCTTCACAAGCTTAGAACAATCGGACTGAACTTCTAATTTTTACAAACCTTTGTAAGACATCTCTAGTAGGATTTCCACTTCTAGTGTAATCATAAGGCCCGTTTTCCGTGGCCGATGGCTAGCATTCAAACATAAAATATTTTTGTAGAATTAGGTGATGCAACAAAAAGCACACATCTAAGGATGGAATGAGCAATAAAACAACTAATGCTAAAAAAAGTTCTTCTTATGTCCTGCGCTGATTGTTTGCTAAAACATAACTCTGTTTCTAACTCAAAAAAATTTCCTGTATGCTGTTACACCCTACATACGCTTGGAAAAACAGTAGTGCCAAGCATCAATAAGAAAAAAAAAAACAACAGCACATTCCATAAATTCTCACTAAGTAAAAAAGAAAGAACTTCAGGTGGTTAGAGATCAAAAAATAAATAAAAAATCAACTTGCTAAAACAGCTTTTAATCAATAAACATGTTATATGCAACGTCCTAAATTTAAGTCATCTAGTGAACCCTTGTCGCCATGAGGAAGCATATCGTCCAAATGATAAATCCAAGTTCATATCTTCTGTTCAGCAGAGTATCATCTTTGGATGGTCAAATAAAGAAAAATAATCAAATCCGAGAAAATAGATTAAATATAAAACAATAAAAAGGCCTACCCATTTCAAGTGAGGAACTTTCCAATCTATCAGCAACTCCTTCAACCAGTGCAGAAGAGATCATGTCCCTCTTGCGTTCTCCACCGCAATTCATCACAAATCTCTCCTTTCTTTGGTTCACAGACAACCCTAAGCCTCGCGTACGACCAAAGCAGCACCTCGAACCCTATTGTAAGAGAAGATGTTAGAATTAAAATAAAGATAAACTCGGTATGAAAAGGGAGAGATAATTCAGAGAAGGGTCGTGCAATCTTTTATTATCCCATATCAATGAAGGAGCAACGCCTACTTACTTGGTCGGCTAAGCGGATACTCGGGGCAATTCCAGAAGTTGCAGCCAAATGGTAGACAATATTGGCAGTGGTGATGGCAGCGACAGCGTCCATGGCAGGCGGCGAGGAGAATAGGGCATAATGGCCCTACTTGGCGCTCTCCTTTGACCTTCGCGGAACCGAGCAGAAAATGGAGCAGTATCTTTTAAATAAGGGGCACGCCGAGAACGGGAGACAACCGAGCGAGAAGAGCGGGGAAGAAAACGGGGAAGAAGAACGGGAGCTGCTCTGCGAATCGGTCCCGGTCCTGGTCGGCGAGGCGGTCGGCGAGGCGAGATGGCGAGGAGGGCCGGAAGAAGAACGGGCAATGAGGGCGGGAAGAAGAACGGGCGTGGGATTCAGCCTCGGTTGAGGAGGAAGAACGCGCGGAGACGAGGGGGGAAAGAGGGTTTTTTGCCCGAGGGCAAAAAGATCCTTCGGAGATGAAAAAGCTGTGCCGTGGGGTGATTCCAGCTTCCCGCTCTTGTCTGACTTTTGTCCGGCTTCAGCTTTGCTCTGTCGCGACGCTGCGAGCCAAACAATTTTTTTTTGCGATGCTCTTGTCTGGCTTCAGCTTTGCTCTGCCGCGACGCTGCGAGCCAAACAATTTTTTTTTGCGATTGCGGACCGCGAAGCCGCAAAAAAGCGGCCCCAAACGGACCCTAAGTAACCATGGGAATTGCTTTGATATCATCATCATAATTTAGAAGAACTTCATGATGAACTTTCTTGATCATTCGATTGCTGGTGGCCCATGGTACCTGTGGTTCGACATATCTATACAATTTCTCTTGCAATGTGTTGAGATAGCACCTTGACAAGGACACATGTTATAGCCACTTGGTTTACATCTATTGTAAGGAAGAGGAAGAAAGGACTCCACTGCGTTGGGAGAAAAAGAAAATTACAAGCTCTTATGCCTTTACATTGCCAGTCTGCTTGATTACATTGAATTGAGTACTTTAGAGTCTATATGTTAGAATTATAATCTAATGTTCATAATTCCTCTTAGAGGTTATGGAAGAGTTATTTATATTAGGGTTATTGATTAGAGGCAATGTTGAGGTGGACAAGATGTAGAACATGCATGGCTATCCTTGATAATGATAGAGGACATGGTCCATGCGCTGAGTGCAGAATGATCATTGATTAAATAACATTTGATGGATGGTTGAATGGAGGACTAGTGGATAGACTCTAAGAGCATTGTGGAGGGTTGACATGTGCGATGAAGTCCGTCTTGGCGATGTAGGGAATGTGACAAAGCTGTTTCGATGGACCATAAAATTTATGAAGCGATAATTCCTAAAAGGTTGCTACATTGTTCCTTTGTAATGGTTTGATTTCGTGGTGATAGTCACTCTAATCAAGGTTAATATATGGAATCTTGAGAAGCTTGAGGAGAGTTTCGGTTGGGATGGTGGGAGCAAGATTTTGATTGAAATTGCAAGAGATTTTTCTATTGCTAGTTCCTTTGAGATCTAATTTCTAATTGACATACGATGGACAATGCTAGGCGTTGACCAAAGAGGAAAGGGCTCTGCCAATTGAAGAAGATAGTGAGAGGGCTCCTGATGATAGCCTAACAGGGAAAAACCATAAGGTTTTGTATTTAGAAATACGATGTTGAGGAGAAGAGAGGATACAACTACAACCATAATCCTAATTCCTTTTTTTGACAATTTAAAGGTGGCAAACATTATAAGAAAAAGAACAACTTGTGATATCCAAGGGTAAAACATTGGTTCAGTTGGGTAGAGCCTTACTTCTATGGGGGCCTGATTTGGGAAAATGATTTTTTTCCCAACTTTGTTATAGCTGTAGGGCCTTTCATGTGCACATGTTATTGTAGATATGGCCTTATTTCATTCATGAATCATGACAACGAGCAGAATGTTTCCTTTTAAGAAAATTTAAATCCATTGAGACTTATATATGTACGTACTTATGTGCATGTACATTGGTCTGATTAATGCGTATATCTTTTCGTATATTTGTTGCACTGGGTGATAGATTTTCTACATGCTCATTTATCATATATAGCAATGTGATAATGCCATGCATAAGTTTCTGACCTTTGATGTTTGACTGTGATTGTATCTAATTCAGTATTAATATGCATAGAATGAATTTTGAGTATTTATTGTCATCCAAGGACTCTTTTTATACCAATGATTTGAAATACTAGCAATAAGAGGCTAAATTCTAATTTCTATATAAATATTCTGCAGATCACAAATAGCAGAGGATATGTACTTCAATGTAGCCACTATGTTCCCCTTGAGGTTCCCGAAGGAAAGGCACTTCCCTGTGTCATATATTGCCATGGAAATAGGTACTAATCGTTTTACTGACTGATTTTTTTTTTAATTTTATTTTTTTCTGTCAATTTTTGTGTCTTGGTGATTTGGAACCTCCTGGGAAAATAATGTTCTGACATGGTAACACTAGGGGAGGCTGATGCATTAAATCTTGTCGTGGAAACATTTACTAGATCATTTTGAGATCTTAATTTTTTTTAAATTTCATATTCTCGAGTTTCATTTTTCACTTCTTGTTGAAATGAGAACTTCCTTGAACAATATGAATTTTCCAATAGAATGTGTAATGCCTTAATACATTGGATACATTTACTGATTTCTTGTGATAAAAAATAAGATGAAATTGGTTGCGATTGTGATTAACATAAATTCTCAACTTCAACTTAATTGGGAGGATTTTTTTGGTTCTTCTTCCTCAAGTCTCAACATGGAAGAGTAAATGCACAATTAAGGAAGATGCCTCATTTCCTTATATGGCTTGTAAATTAAATTTTGTGAGTTTTAACAACACATCTTTTGAGTTCGTGTTTTAACATGTGCTAAACATTTCTTATTGTAAACTTAATAATTTGAGTATGCCTGTGTAACCAATTTTATAAAGTTTTCGATTTAACAAAGAATATGATTCTTATATTACAATAAAAAATGAATGAAGAACAAATAATGACAAGTGTTGTGACAAAAAGAGGAATGATATCATGGTCTAATTATTAATACCAAATCCTTACATTATAAGAGATGTAGTTTTATGTCAATGAATGAATTTAAGGCATGATTGATTAGATATTTTCTTGCATTATTTAGATATTTATATTTAAGGAATATTATGATGCATTTTTTTTTGTTAGGGTTTATTTGCTGAGACTTTCTTATTACTTTTATTTGGTTTGTAGCCTCAGAGTTGCTTTCATTATAAATAGGACCCTTAATGCTAGGTTAATACATATTAATATTTGAATGAAATTTTCACGTCTCAGTCCCTCTTCAATGCTTATTTCTCTTTCATTTTTTATTTTTTTCCTACTTGATATTGATTGATATTAGGGTTTTCTGTTAGTGCATATTCATGTGTCTACAATTGATTATATTGATTCTAATCAAGCAACGGTCAATTGCATTCATCTTGTTTGTGCTTATAGCCTATCACAATTTATGGCTGTAGCTGTTGTGCTTGTATGTTACATCTTGCATCTCACTTGTGCTCGTATGTGATGTTTAATGGGAAATCTTAGTTGAATATTCCTCCATGCGCTGCTAATCTTGCTCCTGCTTGCTCGTCATCGTGTTAGCTATTTAATCTATCTTGCCTTACTCTTTACCTTGATTTTGCACCCTGCTCATTTTTGTGCGACAACCCATTGTTGGAGACACTGCACCCTTTCTCCCCTTGCACTTACGATCCCTCATGCCGTTGCTCCATCTCTTTTCCCTATACATTTTCTTATATTTTTGTATTGCCAATAGTCATTTGTCTTCACCACAACCCCTGACATAACACAATCCTTTGGTTTGCCTATCAAATCACTACTCTAGACCTTGTAAACTCGATAGTGACCTTTCTCTCGCGACTTTCCATTAGTCAACTTGCAATCCTCATTTCCCTCAACTCATTAATTCATTAGTATTTATTTAAAACTGGTCAGAATTTCCTAGTGTTTTCCCTCCAAACATTCCCTATCTTTTCAGATTGTTTCCAAATAACTTATACATCACTTATTTTTGGTGGAAGTTAGGGAAAGGACATCAATTTTTTGTTCTCCATAGGGGAATTGATAACCCATCGATGTCTCTTATTTGTCTATGGACATTCTTGTAAATTTTTAAGGATTGAAAAATTTTGTTATTATATTGCTTAATAAGTTATGAAAATTAGTTATTCACTTCATAGGTATAAAGTCCTTAATTGTTAGTTTGATTTATGTGCTTTATTTTTTTATAAATCTATTAAATCATTGCACAACATTTGTTAGTTTGATTGAGCATTTATTTGTTGCTTTACCTACTATTTGACCTATAAAAAAGAGATTTCTACCAAATATTAAGTGTTTGTGTGTCTAGAAGACAGGAACCTGTTAGACTGGCTGCTTACTGCTTTCTAGATATTACAATTTAATTTTTCTGCATTTTTTGTGATGCTTGAGGAATTGAGTTTTGGTTTCATAATTGAAGTTTTCTAGCACTTTTTTTGATAAGAGAGTAAATTCATTTACATATCATTTTATTTTGTCATTGTGTTGCATATATCACAGTAGTTTGAATTGTTCGCAAAACATACTTATATTTCGTTAGGGTTGTAAATGAATCGAAAGCTCATTCAAAATTTTTTTTTTTAATCAATTTAAACTTTAAATTGAACATGACTCCAGCTCTAAAATTTTGCTGAAGCTTGTTTATCAATTTTCTTATCGAGTTTAAGTTGGAATTGAGCTTTAATTGAGCCTGCTAGATGTATGTTTGATGCTAATTATCTAAAACTATAGCTTCATTGCTAGACAAAATTAGATTTATTGATTTAAACCAAAATTTGACTTATTCATTGGATGTTTTAAAGTGTGTTTTTTTATCGAAGTTCAATTATTAATAAGGTAGGGCTTTAATTTATATTTATAGTCATTTGTTTGATATTTTCATTTCATTGTACTTGTACATTAAATAATATAGAAATTTTTGTGACATGTATGAGTTTATGAAATTTAATATAATAATATTTAATAAGTCATCATTAAATGACATTTTATTATGCTCTTAGCAAGCTACTTGTTAAACTTTATAAGAATATTTTCAAAAATATAAGAGTAGAATTTTTTTATTAAGCTCTTTTTTGCTGTAATTTATTTTTTGCTCTGGCATTTCTTGATAAATGCCTTTGATGTACTCTTTTCTCTATCTAGTTAATATATTTTGATTTTAAAAAAAAAATCTAACTTGCATTTATGGTAGCCTATTCCTAAAACCTTATCATACTATTTATGTTATGATCGCATTATCTATATCTTATTCTCACTCTTTATTTGCCAAATTTCATTTTCAAAATATGCTCCTATGGATAAAATTATAACAGTGGACTTGAGCATGGCTTGATGTGAGAGAGTTTTCTCATGGTGGACTTTCTGTATTTCGGTCCGGAAGCCTAGCTTTAAGAGGCTCAACTTTTTTTTATTTTATTTTTTATACTCTTTCTCTTGAAGTTCCATTTTTAGCCAATTGGATTTTGTCCCTTTAGGTAAATAGACATGCTCCTAGACTAATTCGACCATATTGAATCCTTGTCAAGGTCCACCGCTGCAATCCATTTCTCTTTGTCAGCTTCATCAATTGCCAATCGATGAATTAATTGGTCATTCTTGTCATCAAGAGAGACAACAACAGGTGGTGCTCTCTGAGTACAGTAATAAGAAGGTTCTTGTATCACTCTCCTGCTGTAATGTGGTGGTTTAGAAGTCTGAGCTAGAGATGAGGCCTTCTTTTTCGCTGTTCTTTGATTTTTATTGGTGATGATCTAATCTAATTGGAGTGTAACTTCTCTAGGACAGTCTTTCCTCAAGATATGTAATCCGTTATACAGTCATTCTATAGAAAATTAGCATGTTGATATATGTACTTTCTTATCTTGAGGTCTATGAAACAGATTTCTTCTTGCTCCCCTAGATATCCAACAAACATGCACACTTCTGAACATGGTTCTGCCTTTTTGGTTTTACCTTTCAACGTGGGTTGGGCACCACCATATGCCAATGTGTCTCAAATTAGGTTTGTGACCATTCTGTTGCTATAAAAGTGTCTGAGCTACAAATTTAGATGGGAACAAGTTTAGAATGTTGATAGCTATTTATAGTGCATATCTCTAGGATACTTAAAAGAAGAGTTTCTCAACATAAATCTCATTTTGCATGCAATATTTTATTTATCCTCTTAGCAACATTATTTTATTGTGGTGTACTAGGTGCAATTTAATGGGATAAAGTGCTATGCTCTATCAAACAATCAGTAAATTCTGACAATAAATGTTCACTGCTTTGATCAGATCAAGAATCTTGTTTGATCTATCTAATTGCTTTTCAGACCCATCTCGGAATTTCTTTAACTTCCTTTTAATCAGGTACACTAAGCCACATTTAGAAATTTTTTCAATAAAGGTGATGTAATATAAATATCCATACCTACCCTTTCAACATTCAGAGGTCTTGATGCTTTTGAATGTCCCAACTCAATACGTTGTTTGGCTTTTTCACCTTCTGCAAAGTTAATTGGTCATTTTACCTTTCAAATAGGACTTATGAATAGGTACAGTGACAATTTTAACATCTCTTAAAAGACCATCTTTTTCAAGTCTTTAAATTTTATTTAGGCTAAACTGACCAAGCCTAGGATGGCATTAATTTATATCATCATTGTGCTAAGCTTTTTGACTTTTGGATATTTGTTTACCAATTTTGAACATTTAAATGTTCAATAGGGAGCTAGGGATGCACCTTAATTTCTATTATATAATTAAAATCACCTACTATATTTTCAGAAAAAATATTTAAATAATTAAAATCACCTACTATATTTAAATACTATATTTGCACCATAAAAAATATTTAAATACTATATTTGCACCTTAAATAATTAAAATCACCTACTATATTTTCAGAAAAAATATTTAAACCATCTTTTAAAATAATAATCAAGTTCCCGTTAAAAGAAATTCCAAACGATCATTCATATTCCCCACAAACAGAAATTAAGTTTCTACTGAAGCCTGGAATAAAATAAACATTGTTCAAAATAAGAAAAATTTTTATTTCTAAATTTAAATCTAACTACTCCCACAGCTGTTATTGAAAACAAAGCTCCATTGCCCACTCTCATTGTGAATTATGTCACCGTCTGCATGCTCCTTTGACGAACATAGGGCTTGCTAAAGAATAAAAAAGATGATTAGTTGAACTCAAATAAACTATCTAGGTTGATAAATCGTTCTCTATTAAACATGTTTCTACAACATGTGAATTATATTTACCTCATTCTTTGATTTAGTTCCTGGAGGCTAAGGTGAGCACAGTGAATACATTTTTCGTTTGGCCCTTTAACCATTAGCTTTGCTGTTGCTTTCTTGTTCTTAACGTTTTCCTTCTTGCCTTATGTCTTGGCATTCCCAACGGTTTGTTCTACTTACATTTTTAGACTTAGGAGATCCTCAACAACATGCTTCAACACCCTTTGTCCTCTAGATAAACTCAAAAAAATTCAAAGTTCATTCAAGAGTTAATTGATTCATCTTTTTAGTGATGTAAATTGACTTGCTTTTGGTAAAGGAAGATGATAGAGTCTATTATAGTCCCATTTATGTCGGCCTTATGAAAGTAGCTAATCATGTTAAATATATGTTTGCATACTGGTGTATTGTTGCTCATCTTGGCTTTCATGTCTGTTTCAGTACCATCTTGATATGCCTTTCCAGATGGGTAACCAAACGCATCTGACCGAGAGCCTTCATCAACTTGATTCAAGCGTCTAATTTGCTGACCTAAAGTACCTGGTTGTTGAAAACTTGCTCTTTAGCTTAAGAAATTTAGGGGTGTAACTCCAATTTGACAGGAAATTATTTTCTTATGCCCACCACATATTATTGTAATAAATTGCACTTCACCCTTTAGTTGAACCTGATTCTTAAGGATTCCTTCTTGTCAAACATAAAACACTTTCAGGCAGACTTCTAAGATTATCTGAATTCATTTCACATAATGCTTCTGGTTTGATGTTATGTTCTTATTAATTTTCAAACTCTTTTTCTTTTTTCCTTGCATTTGACTTCTTTAGTATTGAAATTCGACTCTGTTCATTCTATCTCCCAATTCTTTATAAGTTCAATTTTTTTTGGTTCATTTTAAAGAGAATTGGATAACATTATGCTTGGTTTCACTAAATGTATTGCAAGAAATAGAGCTTCAAACTCAGAAACAGTGATGTTTCCTTAATTATTATTTTTTTAGTTTATATTTAAATTTTTATGCTGGTATTGGTGATTCTTTTTGATTGGTAACATAGTTTAAATTTATTTCAGTGGGTGCAGGGCCGATGCCAGTGAGGCTGCTATTATATTACTTCCATCAAACATTTCGGTTTTTGCCCTTGATTTTTCAGGATCTGGACTCTCCGAAGGCGAGCATGTTTCTTTGGGATGGAATGAAGTAAGGGTTCGCTTTATGGTGTAATATGTTTGATGAGTTGAGGCAGTGCCTCTATTGATCACACGTTGTCTTTGCATAGCTTCTAATTTTGAATAACGTTTTTTAGCTTGGCACATGGTGTTTAACAGTGCATGAATGATGATGTTAAACTTTAACTTGCAGATATTCAGTTCCTTCTAAATGAATGCAACTTCTTGATCTTTTTGTTGGCGGCTGCTTTATTTAACTACCATGTACTTATTGCATAGTTGATATTGGAGTCGACCCAAACAACAATGACGCGGGCGTAGAACAACACCCGAAATTGTGCGCCGAATAGCGCTTGGCGCGGGGCGTTCTAATGCGGCCGAAGCCTCACGCCAAATCTCACAAAACTGCGCAAAATCACGTGAAGCCTCGTGCGACGCGGGAAACCCGCGAACTCGCGGATGCGGGAGAAATCGCGAATTCTCGCAATCCATCCAGGCTATTCACACCAGATCTTTTCTAGGAAGTAATTTCTGGATTCCTCTCGGCTTTCCCACCTATCACTTTTGTGTAGAAGTTTCTCCTGAGCCTATAAATTATTGTCTTTGTGTATGTGGGAGTCAGATTTGAGTTGTGTTTGAGTTCAGATTGTGTGAAGTCTATTTCCCCTTTTTGGGCTGTATCCGAGGAGATGATGGTGCTCTGGCTATATCCTTCTTCTAGGAGGTTATTGTATCCTTCTCTTCTACCTTTTCCAAACATTTTACTCTTCGCTCCTCAACCACCAAACTCTCCATCCGACACCCCGACACCCCGACACCCCGACACCCCGACACCAAACCATTCCCCTCTCTACATATTACTATTGCTATCCCTCCCTCTTAACTCCATTCAAGCTCCTCCCAACCATCCCATTATCATTGTTGACCACCAACAACTCTTCCCACTTGTTGTCCTTACCGTTTCACGCCTTCCCCCCTCGCTGCAATCAACACCTGGGCCATTACCACCCCTACTAGCCATCTTATCCCACCTCGCCGATCTCCACCACCTATTGGAATCCAATTAGAAGTGTTTGTTTGTGTTGTTTGTGTGTTTCTGTCCTTATTTCCATTCGAGTCATGTTGCAATCGTATTTTAATATTAATGAAAGTTTGTTTTTGTGTTTTCCATTATTTTCCCTACTAGCTCCTGCATCAAACAACGAGTAAAGAAATACTTTTAGTGCAAAATCCAAAAAAAATGGTTACAATCAACACACTTGAAAGGAAAAAATAACTGTCACGATGCATAAACTGAAAGTAAGGTTAGGTTCGAGCTGGTGATGATTGGCTATGGAGGTGGGAAGGGATGGAGAGTGCTTGAATGATGATATGGGGTTCTGTTGTGAGGCATTAACACTATGAAGAGGGTGTTGGGTTGCGGTTTAGGGGAAGGAAACTAGTATAGAAGGGTTGGACCGCAGAAAGGCAATAAGCGGGCTATAATTGGGATGACGATAGTGAGGAGAAGGGTTGGCGGCTAGGGACAACAGGTTGGAAAGGATGGAGAGGTGGAACATGACCGAAAAGGGGAAGGTTGGAACGACAACAAGACCAGAAGGCGTAAAGGGAGACGACTGGTAGGTGGATGGTTGTTGGCATGTCATGAGAGGCTTTCTTGGGCGGTTGGAATGGGATGGAGTTGTGACAGTGAAGGATGGATGTGGGGGCAAGGGGAGTTGGAGATAAGTCACCACTTTGGAGCGAGATACAGCTAGAACACCACTCATCATCGGATACAACCATAGAAGGGAAAACATGTGACACTGACAGCTATCTTGACAGAAACGTAATAAAAAAATTACACGAAAACACAAAAAAACATACTTAAAGGCTTAGGGTAAAGAGGAGTGGACCCTGCTCCAAATAAGAGGGAAGCTCATGCCTGGAAGGACCAGCCAACCTCTACTTCCCTTGGATAAAATTGGAGCGTGGAAAAGATCACGTTATTTGCCGCGCCTGGGGCGTGGATGCACTACGTCACTCCCGGGATTAGGAGAGTTTCAGTCTCATTCTTCAAAGATTTTATCTACACATTGAAATTGACAGAGCTGTTGTTACCTTTCGAGGTTAAGGAATCTTCAACTGTGGCCCAAGAAGCACCTGGATCCCATCGATAGTTGCAGTGTCCCCCAAAATACCTGAGGATCTTCCTCCACTTGCGAGCATACATTTATATCGGTCTAACCTTCTAGGGGTACATCATTGAACTGAATTGAGACTTCATGTCATGTATATTTTGTAGAATCCTCCTAAATAACCCAAAGTTAGCTCAATCTGATCTGAAGTAAGGGCAGTCTATACCTCCCCAAATGATGGCGGCCATTGCTGTAAGCTATCAAATATGATGCTTTGAAACTCTCTCTGTAATGGCTGCCCTTTGTCTGAAACTTGCTTTTCTATCTTGCATTCTTTGTCACCTCCAAAATGGATTCTACTAGCGCTTTTCCGTTGGCAAGGGGCACCTCTACAAAAGGTAGAAGGACTATGCGCTTTCCATCTTTCGTGGAGTAGGTGTTCCTGAATCCGTCATGCTGAGTTTGACGATCGAACTGTCATGTTCTCCCAAACAAAGGTGTCATGCATTCATGGGCTTCACATCACACCAAATCTAATCTTGCAGTTGATTCCCAATAAAAATTTTTTTGAGACATCTCCTGTCAATGTCGACTCTATTTTTCCTCAACCACGCCAATGAGTGCCTCTGAGTTTTGAGGCTCAACTTGTCCATCATCTTTGTCGACGACAATTTCTTGCTATTCCATCGATGACGAGAATGCATATCTTTCTCAATACAACATGTATAGAATATGTTGTGGCAAAGTTACTGCCGATCCCTCTTGGCCTCAGTCCGTAGGACTCGTTGAAACACCAGGATCTTGCTCTCATTCGATGGAACTGGTACTCTTCATCTTATTTCTTCAGCTTCCTCTTCGTCGCTTACTTGCTCTATTGCATAAACAGATGTTTTTATTATGCAATCTGATGGTCTACGCCTATCGTTTATCTTACCGACAGAAACTAATGTCTTAACCATGATTTTTAATCTAGTATATATTGACGAGTCAGACCCGTCGGTAATCCGTCGATGATGTAAACCTGTCAGAAACACATATTAGCTATGCCCCTGAAATCCTCAAAAAGGTGGCGAAAATTAATTATCCGACAGTTCTTTAATACTTACCGACAACATATGATTGTCAAAAATAGGATAAAATTTTTATAGTGAGATCTATTATGGATCAGGTTGAAGAAAGAGAGATTTTTCATGAGATTGTTTGGAAAACTCAGACCCAAAGCAGATGGGCTTTTTTTTATTCTCAAAAGGCTAAATGAAAATGTCTTTAAGATTGACTTATTGGGGAATTACAACTTTGTTGTTACCTTTAACGCGACAAACTTGACTCCATACTACCAGGAAACAAAAGCTTCAACAACGAGGTCGAAGCTACCCTAATCTCGGGAGACTAACACGGGTGCGTTTCCCGCATGAAATGCAGGACGTGACAGTCGCAAGTTGCCAAACTGGTTGCATGTACCGATTCATGCTTAAGGGAGTAGAGGGGCTGCATGATCCTTCCTTGATGAAGAATTGCCTCCTAATTGAGAGGGCCCACCCTTAGCTATCCTAGTAGTATTTATATTTTTTTTTATGTTTTAGTTCAGTATAGATTGAGCTTTCTGTCAGGTCAGCTGCCAGCGTCTAGGTTTCCCCTCCTAAGGCTATATCCGAAGGCGAGAAGGCTCTCTAGTTGTAACTCGTTCTGAGGTGGTGTTTATCTGTCGTTGCTTACTGCTTTCCTGCCGCCAACTCCATCCTCCTTGCTGCTTTTCCCCCTATTGCCAACTCCACCAGTCCCCCACCTGTTGTTGCCTTGCCACCAACTCCATCCTTCACTGCCGCTACTTTGCCACCAACCTCACCCATTCTCACTAGCTGTTGCCCGACTGTCAATTCCCCCATCTCATCCTCATATCCCCTCAACCTTAGCCACCTTGCTGCAATCTTCCCACCACTTTCGACTCCAGCCCTAGTTGGTGTTTGTGTTGTGTGTCATGTTATTTCTATTTCAGTGCGTTTTTTGGAACTTCTATTTGTTTTCTGTGATAAAAGTTGTATTTTCCCTGTTGTTTGGTTAACTTGGATATCAAAGTGGATGCCTAAAGATTAAATAATGTGTATTTTGACACCAATATTCAAGCATAAAGTTATGGGTGAAGTGTTTTAGTGTAAATGCTTTTGAATATTATATAGGAATCTAATTTTTGAGTAGTATAATAAAGTCTTGTGATAAGGTAATAGAACATAAGCTTAGAAAAAGAACATATTGATTAGGAGAAAAAAATTGATTTATGATAGGAAGAAGATCCATTCTTGTGCCATGTTTGTACTATGGCAGTAATTAAAAAATTTGAAGTGTAAATAAGTTATTTAGATGAATTTAATTGTCTCGAAGAAGATATTTAAATATCATGATAATTGGTTTGATATACATCAAGAAAAAAGCATCATAGTTATGTGGAAGTTATTGAAGAAACCTATGATTGAGCAGTGATTTGCATTAGAAGTTATAACGAAATAACTCAATATTTTCTAATAACAATTGAAGTAGATGAACATTTATTCTGAAGTCCCTCTCTTTCATATTGATTATAGAAATCCTGCAAAGGATATTCCAAGCGAGATGGCATTATATATACTATTGTTTACAAAGTTTTAAATTGTGAGGCAATTTTTTGAGATGAGTGGAAATTTATAATAACTGGGAAAGCAGTTGGAAGATAAAGGGTCTAGGACTGGTGGAATAAATAAATGTACATTTTTTGTTGGTGCAAAATAATAGTTATGAGTCAATATTTCTAGAATATCATTTAACACTTCGGCGTGATCATTTTAGGCATCTTGGGCATGTTATATGCAGTGATGAGGACATAAAGTGGAATATAATTTCTAGATTTGAAGTTGTATTATATGCAATAATAAAGTTACACAAGTTGGGTTGGGAGAACGGAGAATTGCTTTTGGAGTATTGTATTATTAATTGTTTGTAGGAAAATTTTATAAAACTGCGATTATATATCCTATTGTATATGATGTATTGAGGGCAATAATGAAATCATTGATATTTGAGTTTTCTGTGATAAAAATGAGAATGTTAAGATGAATGTTTGTAAGAAGCAGAATTGTTTGGTTGAGAAATGATTATTTAAGAGGGGTCATGCGGGTAGCATCTATTAAAGATAATGTAGGGGAAAACAAATGCATAATTTCGGTAAACTAAATGCAACATTGATGAAGTGCCAAAAGATTTATTCTTTCCTTGATTTAAAACCTCAAAAACATTTATTAAACATGAGCGGTGAATGGCGAATGCTAGGATAAAGCTAAGCATAATGAATATGATATTAAATTTAGCAAGTTATTTTTTTTCTTTTTGCTCTTGCTACGCTTGCTATTGTCTTCAATAACCATTTTGTATTAATGTATTTTGCACCTTATTGACAACCTCCGTTAATGAATATATTAGGTATTAAGCACTATTGGACTGCAATTTGCATTTTGAAATTGCAAACAGTAAATCTAACATTTTGGGGCAGGAGTACCATCTTTAAAACACATTACAACATGATTTTGTATTTGATTGTAACTTTGCTTTTGAATATTTATTTGCAAGTCACTTTGATAGTTTTGATGAATATTTTTTATTTTTTATTTTTTATTTATCTTTTTTTTTCCTCATATTTCAGTCATGTTTTTGCTATCTCAGAAAGATGATCTGAGGGCAGTGGTGAATCACTTAAGAACAGATGCAAATGTCTCTTGCATTGGTTTATGGGGGCGCTCGATGGGCGCTGTTACAAGGTATGTTTAGGGTTTTTGATTTATTCTTATTGTGCTCTTAAGAGCTTGTTTATGCTGTCCTTTCCAGTTGAAATGAATCTTATATATGCAGCTGTTGTGACATTATGAAATCAATTGCAACTGTCTGTTACGTAATATAGCTCTTTTGTTTGAATTACATTAAGAATAATAGGATAATGAATTAATTTGATGCACATATTTTCTCTTAGTATACTGGTTGTGCATTTCGAGAATATGCGTAGAGTTGGAGGTTCATCAGATAATTTGATATATCTAATATAAAAGCATAAAGGGTGTAGGCTCATTAATATATTTCATGGACTTTGAAAGGAGGAATAGCTTGGTAGTATAGTTATTGAGAATTTAGGTGGTGATTAGTTTGGCTAGAGAGGGGATGATGGAGATTGCGAGAAGGGAAGGAGTGTGTTCTTGATATGAAGGTCATCAATTATAGCTCTTGGGTCATCAAAATTTGGATCTTTCACCATCAATTTGCTTTTAATTAATATCTATGATATGGCATATATAGATTATTGATCAGAGACATTGTTGGTGTTGGCCTTTACTGGGCGGGGAAAATCTACTTAAATATGGGTGAATGGAGGTTCCATCAATGCATGAAAATGGGAAGTCCACTTTAGCATATGCATTGGAGAGCCGCTGACATGGTGTGCCCAGAAAGAGCCTTGTGTAGTCTACATATGAGGATAATCTTATAATGATGCGGAGAGGATCAATTAACCTCACTAAATAGTCACTAACCAAGTATCTGTCTTAACAAGAATTTGCGGATGACATCTATGTTGGAATGCTCCAATGAATTTTTTTCTTAACAATAGACAGAGAGCTGCCTAGGCAGCTTAGAGAAATCTTCCTTGGAGAAAATAAGTGCTAGTTTGGCTTGACATGATAAAAAAATGGAATCACGGGCACAATTCTAAGTGTGATTTCCCCCCCACAATTTGTACAAAGGAGTGCAATTTTGAACAACATGAGGTGTATTATTACAAGATTGAAAGTGGTTGGAGGAGCCTTTGAGATAGTAGGAGCTATTGACATGAGATGATGGTCGATTTGGAGGAACCAACATGACTCTATACTTTCAAGGAAGGAGAAGGAATCGGGGTCGATGAGAAGTAAAGCCACAAAGTGCTATCAAAATGATGAATGGTAAGGATCTTGAATAATGGATGAAATTTACTTGATGGGAGAGCAACTATCAATGAGGTAGGGGCACATGGATGCAACCTTAGGTGGCCCACTAGAAGCTAGCAAGTGTTGTGAGCGTGTGTAGATGTTTCCAAGTGTGCAAGAGTGATCACGTGATAGTGTCTTGAGTGTAGTTGTATAGTTGGAGTGCAGCACCAATGTGAGGAATGTGAGTGCGATGACATAGAAGCTTTTCTAGGCAGAGCAATCAGTGAGGTGTGTTAGCCAATGTCGAGCTTGCATGAGTTAATGAAAGAACGCACAGGCTAGAGGAGCGCGACCAAAATAAGATGAGCTGCTAGAGTGAATTTGAGTGATCCAAACGAGCTTTCACCTTTACAAAACATATCAATAACATTATTTAGTTCATTTTGGGATATTTTTGAAATTTCTAATGTGTCTAAAGTCCTTCAAATATTCCTACAAGTTGTTGATGTATGAATACTTGCTTGACAAAAGTCACTTGTTTTCATTATAATTATTATTGCACCAAGACTTGTGTTGCAACTATCTCCACAAAACTTCTTCTGTAATTTTCACTAATATCATAGTTGTTGCCTCATTAAAACCTATACAATTTTCATTTTTCCACATCTGTTGCCACGTCTTGAGCTATGCCTTAACTTCTACCTGTGTCGCATTATTGGAGGGGAACATGATGGAGATGATTGAGGATCGACAAAAGTTACTTCTAGACGACAAGTTGGAAGCTTAAGCAACAAGTTAACAACAAATAAGGCGGCTAGGGAGATTCTCACCAAGATCCAATCAGGTTATAGACACACTACCTGAAGTGATCGAAGGATACAACATTCAACAAGAGAAACCTAGAGAAAATCAGTCTCTAGAGCTTGACCAAAATCAAAAGTGTCCTATATAGAAGTTCAAAACATATTCAAATATCCAAAAGTAAATAATTCTAATTAAAAGCCTACATAGGTAAATTAGGCTCCTAAAAGAACCAACCAAATTGGTCCTTTTTTGCATCGATCTGGTCTCGGTCCACTTGGGAGGCAGAATGCAAGACATCTATGTCAAAAAGTTTATGGTGCAGACGTTAATGCGACACAAGCAAAAGTTAAGGCATAACTCAGGATGTGGCCCCCTCTGTTTCTTATCCTACAAACCTCATAACTCATCTCTTGACATTCCCTTATTATCCGGTAATCTTAGATTGGTTTTATTTGGTATCAGAGCATGTGAAATCCTAAATTTGTCATAATTTTTCATCCCCATTTCTAAACATATAATTCACATAACCTAGATCATCTATCCAATCAAATATCCTAACCTTAACCCTAAACCACCATTTCTATCTTGGCTGAAATCCTAATTAGGGAAAGCCTAGGAGAAGCATACGAATGGATGTCTAGGAGCTTATATTGTAGGATATGCGAATGGATGTCTAGGAACTTACAATGTAAGATATGTTTAGGGACACCCTTCTACTATAATAAAAAATTGTCACTTTTGAATGTAAATAAATTTAAGAGGTTACCCATAGTCATAATGATGATTCACCGAGGAAGTTAATCTCTTCAACTAATAAAGTTTTAGTGATGAAGAACTAATGCCCCTACGATTTAATACTGAGTATCATAGAACGGATAATAATTTTAGGGTGGAGATAAATGGCCGAAATTTGACTAAAATCTAGACCTGAACAAATTAATTGAGCGACTCTAAACATTAAACTAAATTTTTGAGTACAAGGACTTCCTCATGATATCATAGGAATATATTCTAAATTGTACCAGGTAAGTCACATTAATATGAATAACCTTTTCTATTACATGTGCACGAGTAATTTATCATCCCCAATTAGTACTATTAGGGTTGAACTCTTATCATATTTAACATGCACATGCAAGAACTATATTGATTATCACATTCATTTCATTCTTATCATTCCATGTCATTTATTCATAATCAATATAAATATGTAAATTTACGACATTAATTTTTTATCTAACCAATTTGAGTAGTAGAATAGAATCATCATAGCATACTTAGACTATCAAAATTTCTAAACAAATTTTATTCCAATGACAGTGGTTTTGAATAAAGAAAATGTTATTATCATGATTTAAAAGTAAGACTACTCATCTTACTACTTAATATGTAAATAACATTTTTCGTTTTTGATGTCATAAACGACTCTTCTAAATGTAAATTTCTATAGGTAACCCAATCAATGTATAAGATATCTATAATTATTTGAAGTATATATTATATGTAATTATGTTAAATTAACTAACCTTTAGCTTAGCACATGAACTATATTAATTTAATATTTAGCAAATTTATCAATATATAATTTTATTGATTTTTATTTAAATTTGTCATATTATAATATTTTGGTTTTATAAAATTTCATTTTAACTTCAATAATTTAACCTAGAGTACTTTTTTGTTTAGATAAATAAGTTATCATTATTCTTTAAAATTTTCAATTTACTATGTATTTTATATATTTAACATAGCCTTTAACTATGTAAATAAATCTTATTAAATTTTTATAATTGAAACTAAATAATAAATCTTTCACCATTTTCTTAAATAAAAATATTTTTTTGTACCATCTTATTAATTTTCATTTAAAGTAAATATAAATAAATATGTAAGTATTAATTTCTAAAATTAGCATTTCATTAAATTATCTTAATTCTAGTAAACTAGTCATTTTATTTCCTCAACTCTTTTTTGGGTCACTAAATTATCTTAACTCCATTAATTTTAGAATTTATTTTCAAAAATTTAAATTTCTTATATTGACTATTTTATTTACTGAATATCAATTTCTTTCTATTCCTCTTTTTTTTATTAATACTAAATTTTTATTACTAAATTTTTAGATTTTGAATTTGATGCAACCTTGGTATAAACTAAAATAAAGAAATATTTAAAGGAAAGGAACTTACCTCACTCGATGATTGTCCCCAATTGTTTGTGAGAATCTCTCACTCGTCACTCAGATTAGCTTGCTTCCTCACAAAGTTGCCCAACATTCACTATACCCTTGCACAGGTGTTGTTCCCTTGCTACTTTTAATGTTTTGATGGCTGCACATAAGTTGCCTTGACCAGCAGAGGTCGGTTTGACCTTCGCTCTCTTTCTCGGTATCACACACACGAAGAAGCCCTTGTTTTCAATCACTCGTCTCCTATTCTTGGAAGATGAAGTTGCTCGGCTAGCACTAGGGGTTTTGTCCCTCTAGAAGGGAACCAAACTTCCCTGTGTTCTTTTCATCTTTTTGCGATTTCCTTTCTTTTCATCTTCTACTTTGTTTTGTTAACCTCCCATCCTTCATCCTCGTCTCCTTAGCTGATTTTTTTTCTTCTTTTAATTTCTAGGCATTACATTGTTTGTCTCATGTGCCAAAGTCGAAGCAATTACCCTTTGAATTCTTTCATACTTTCCTCAAAACTTCAAAACTCCCACGTCGAAGGCTTAGTCAAACTCAAAACTCAAAAGAAATTTAGTCAATGATCATCTCATTTATCGCTTTTAATGGAATACAAGAAAAGGCTGATGAGTAGACATTGGCACAAAAGCCTTAAATTTTATAGTCGACCATGAGCTTTTACCTTAGGTGTGTCAGGTGCGTCGAGGCATGCCCAACTTGTGTCTCGATTGTGTCAGAATGAAATTTTACTTTTAAATGACCTTGAGATGGTTTTTAAACTAACAAACAATTGTCATAGTGTGTCGAAGTCTTGTTTGTGTCTGACAGTTACATGTAAGGCATTTCAAACTATCTGTGCTTGATTACTTGTCGACAAGAATTGCTA